GATTAAAAAGTTCTGTCTTAAAGTATGGACCGAAACATTTTCCTACAGTGTTACATGTATAAGCATACGTACAAGGAACATGCAAGCTGTCCAGTGCAGTAGTGTCCACCTGCAATAAATCAAAGACTCGACGACGTGAGGAATTAAACAATCCGTGGCGAACACTGATTGTTTGTCACATTTGACGTCCACTATTAAATTTAAAGCGTAACAAATCACAGCCGTGTCATCTAGACCGGACCCTATACTCATCCGAACATTAGCAGTCCTAATTTGTTTCGGAAAATTAATGAATGCATATGAATTTATTATCTTTGCAACCACTATTGTATGTAAACTTTATTTCAGGTGAATAAAAGATTTAACGCCATTTTTGTTGAATATATGATAATCGTTGCAGAAAGCATTTATGTTTAAATTTAGCAAAAACAAATTAAAGCTTGTGATACAGTTTGATGCCTTGACGGTTAAAGATAAATTGTAGATTACAGAATTGTCTTTAGTTACAATCCGGATACTTTATATTCTGTCTGAAGAAAGTTGTGATTATAGTTATTGGAACCAGACAACTTAGATTTGGCAGAGGTACACTGTATGCCTTTCTTTGTCACGTTCATTGCTTTGTAGACATTGGAAGTCCATTCTTTCCACAAATTTTACTTGTTATTAAAAAAACTTTAAAGGAAATGCTCCTGCTACAGTGGCAAACTATATGTACAAGGTCAAAGAGAAAAAGATTTTAAATTTTATTCTCTGATTTGGAGACTTCAGAAAAGTTAGTAAGTGGCCATTGAGAGTTATATAAAGCCTAAAGTATGAAAAAAAAAAACAGAACCAAAGAGTTTAGACAGGGTCTAGGTCGGAAAAGATAATATTCTAACATTCAAGATTTTATCAAAAAAAGTTCTTTTTTTTTTGTCATGTATATTAATATAAAACATGTCTCGTATAGAATCAATATGATTTTTAATTATATACATGTATATAGCAAGTTTTTCTGTAATATAAAAGTTGAATAATTAAGTAGTCATATGAAAATCACATGTTTAAATTTAAGCGTATTAACGTAACAACATTGCTACTATCAGCAACAATCCATTTCAATTTCAATTGCTTTGTAAGGATAAATAAAGAAAGGGATCCTTTTTCATTTTTTTGTTTAATCTACCATCGTTTCATCTGATTAACACGTATTTTTATCCTACCTTTTTAGCATAAATCAGACTGGCTTTTGACGAATTTATTTAAATCAGGTATTGTGAAACATGTAATATGAGTTTGTGCAACATGCAGAACTGCAAGAAACAGATTTTGATATTTTCCAAATTGTTACAGAAGCTGATATCAATTAAAAGGGCTTCAACCGGAGGAAAAGGTATTATGTGTACTACACATTGATTCTTTAACATCTTTTCATTTTATTAAAAAATGTGAGATTTTTAAAAAAAGATATCAAGTTTTATGTAAAATTTGTAGTTTATTACTCGGTGAATAAAGGTCGAGGTTCCTTCGTAGACCTTGCTGAGCGCCCAATAAAGAATGGAACCTAGAGATTTGTATTTCTTTTGTTATCTAAATGAAGCACAAACGAGTTTTATTGACAACAAAAAGAAAGCAATATGCCGTGAACTACTTTAACATGACCCCCCGATTTTGATGAAACTTGGCTTTATATTAAACCTTGGCACCAGAGATTTCATATTTCCATATAGTAACCTTTTTTTAGAATCAGCTTTGATCTATATTTGAAATGTAGAACCATAAAGTTTGAATACTGCATTACTGTAACATGCATGTTCTTGTTCATTTTCAAATTTATTTTTTCTTTCTTTATGTTTACAAATACTTAACATTGGTATTTTATGATTATCAAACATTTGAATTTCAGTTCGTACAAGGTACAAGACAGATTTAGAGCTCCAAACCTTTGTTATGTAGACAAAGCCCGTGCCATGCTTTTGTTGACGTACTACAGGTTAAATATACTAGATTTTATGTTTCTTGCAAAGACGATTTTATGATAAAGAATTCAATTCTAAATACGATTAAATAGACAGTTTCTAGTGATTTGTTGAATCTCGTTTTGTTATAAAATATTAATATATTTTCTATATGTAAACGAAAACAAGGCACGAGCATTGTTTACATTATGAAGAATTTTAAGTTCTGTTTCTCCTTTGTAAATCAACAAATGATGTTCAAATTTGTGCTGATCATTTCAATTGCCTTAATTAGGAATTGTAAACATTAAAAGTGGCTTTTAAAAAAATCAGTTGAAGCTGTGTCCATGTCCCTTTAAGGACATATGCAAGGTACCTTACTTACTGATAATTTTTCAAGATATTCTTAATATAAGATTATAGTGCCATCAGATGTTCATTAACAAAAATCAGTGCGCATTACCAGGGGTTTTTGGAAGATATCAAACTATGAAAATTTTTGCATTATTCAAAGAAAATTATACAAAAATTAGGAAACATAAATTTCAGATTTTTTTTTCATCAAAATTTGTTTTAGAAGATGTGTACAAATCCATATATAGACATTAAAAGTATTACACACAGGTCCTTCGTTTGGTGGAACTCTTCAACTCCAGGGAAGAGCCCAATAAACTTCACATTACGTTGCGTATGACCTTAAAGGGAGTAACTGTATGTCGTTAGTTATAAGAATGTTTCTGATCCTGTTGATTCTTTCAATAAAATATGTTCATTTATCAGATATGAGGTCCGTGTTTGCTCTGCTTCTATTCTGTATTGTTTTATGGACTTTTGATCTTGAATATACTGTTCGTTATCTCCATATGTTTCAACAATTAAAAAGAAAATGTGAAAATATAGAAACTAATTTAGTAACTATTTAAGGTTTTATTGCTGTACAACCAATAAGAATAGTACCACTTTTTAAATACTTTATTTACGTTACAAATACAAGGATCTACCATTTGTTAAATAGTAATCTTTTCAACTTATTTTTGCTTTTTTTAAATATTGTAATCAAAATATAGGAATGAAATTGTTGCTTTTCAACAAGCTTTTATGTGACTTGTGTTTACGTTTATCGCGTTGCGTAATTTGAATGCATCTCAATTTGCGGTGTAGATTTTTTAAAAGAAATAATCACTCCTGTTCATTGCCCAGTAAAGGAAGTTATTTGTACGTCTTATGGAAAAGAATGTATTTTTATAAATTTCTATTAAATTTAACATATTTCTGGAAAATGATAAAATCATAAAATGATTTTAAAAAATCTTTTATTTCATGTCAAATATCTCTATTTTTAAAGCTCAGAACCGTGTTCTATAGCTAGAAAAAGAAGCACAAGTGTTGATTTATATAACTAATTTTTCAGTCAAAAATTATCGTGTAAACAGGCTGGTAACAGACCGTCAGCTTTTTATTGGATTATGTACATAAATAATACGGCGTGCAGTCAGTCGCGTGCTGGGCGTGATCGTCCAGGTGGGCGGAGCCTAGCATCTGAGCATGAATGAAATACCACACAGATAAACAAACACATTAATGGCACTCAGGTAAGAGATTGGTCCATTTTTTTAAACACCGATGCGGCTTGTGTCTTCCTCAAGTCAGTACTTGGGTAGTGAGAATTTTCTTTTGGCTTTCATTTTTGAGAAAAACATCAAATTATATTTATCATGTTTATGTTTTTATGGCAACTCAACAGCATGCAGCATTTTATATACGAGGCCTCAGAGTTCTTCTACGGAATGGGAAAAATAAAGACAGGTCATTCAGGTTACAATAGTGCGTATATAATTTATCATACGTACAATATCATATATACGCTTGTACAGCTGCTAACACTCACACAGTACAAATAGCATTATGTAACACCAACGAGGCCCCTTTTCCATCCCGATCGATCCTTACAAATCTGCCTTGTTCTATGATTTAATTCTATACCATACGCTTCTTCTATTGGGGTTTTCTTTTTAAAATAAATACCGGCCCAATAACTGTTCAAACTAAAATATTGTTATTTTCTAAATTACCAAACCTCCAAAAGGACATAGTGACACAAGAAATAATGTACATACCAGTAATATATACTTGGCATTATTAAGGTAGAAAGATATAATGTCAAAGATGCCTCCAAGAATACAAGTACTCCTTTCTTGGCAGAGGATCCAACCTCTGAAAATTTCGGGGGTGTTATGTATTCCCTGTACATGGATTTGTACATGTATTGTTTGAAGAATTTCTTTTCTCCATCGATCTATGTTAAAAGATGTCTCTATTTTATTTCATCAATGGTTCATTTGAATTTTTGATACAATTTCATTTTGTCAAGACTTTCATTAAAACAGAACTTTATCATACGATATGTGCAGATTAAATCACAAACGAAGCATGTTTTTTGTGTCTTTTTTTTATTTCAACCTTCGTAAAAAATTGCCATTTCATATGAATACAAAGTATATAACAAAAGAAAGACGGCATGTGATAATAAACAGCAAGGATTTTAATCATGCAACCATAAAAATCAGGGATCTCTAGATACCGTATTGCTTCAATCGATTTAAAATTAATATTGCTTTCATTTAAAAAAAAGATTACTTCCGGGTTATAAATGTATAAAGGTAAAATGAGTGCAAACACTTTCTTCTCGCAAGAATGCATTTTTCAAAATTGTTAATCAATGTTTAAATGAATTTGTATAACCTTGAGTCTGAATCTATACCCATCTCCAAAGTTTAACGATTACATTCGATTTTGTGCGAACAAATGCACAGTATTATGGCAAAATAACAAGAATTTCTAACGCGTAAAATTAAATACCTAAAAGCTGTATTTAGACCAAATACAAGTAAAAACGGTGTATTAATGTATAAATTATGACAAAAAAATCTGAACACAAAAGAAAATACATTAAGAATACATAAAATATTTCGAAATAATTAAAAATATATAAATGTAATATACAATGTACATATAGTATATAAAATATTTGAACACATGTTATCTTATTATGAACACAGTTTGGATTTCTCTCGTCCATGAAAACATATTTCTATAATGTTTAACATTTCATAATTACATGAGATCTTAACATAAATTTCAACTCTTATGCATAAAACAATACTTAATGGACATTGGTTTTCATTGCTGGCACATGGAACCATCTAATTCTTGCTTTATGTCTTGTTGGAAGACAGCACACCATTGTGCTTAATCCTTTACAGATTTTCACATTGTCAAAGTTTGGAAAGTTATGGTGTGTTTCGTTTCTGTATCTTACCATTGCATGGTCGAAAGAACATGGAATCAAACACTAAGCGAATCATCACTATATCTGCCTAATTGTTCTTGCTGACTGAACATGTCGTATGTTTCTTTGTGTGGTTTGAGTTTTACATTTTTGGGATCTTCTCCTTCCGAGATTTCTTTCATGAATGAAATATACGTCATGGCCAGCTTCAGCGTTTCTATTCTGGAAAGTCTTTTTTCGTAATTAAATGCCGGAAGTCGTTTTCTTAAATCATCGAAGGCGGTGTTCAGGTGGAACATCCGTTTCCTCTCTCTAACGTTCGCTGCTTTCCGTTGAGATTTGGACTGTACTCGTTTTCTTTTCGGTTTCCCGTCTTTACCAACGGTCTGTTGATTGGAAGATGCGAGATGAAGTCCGTGTGTACTAAGTTGCCCTATTCCACTACACTGGTTAAAATCACTAATCGTGAAGTCAGTGGATAAATCACAAGTCCATGCCGTTCCAGTTTGCAAGTAACTGTTTTGTGAAAGAGGAGATACTCCCATAAATGCAGGATGCTGTCCATTATCTGGTGAAAGAATAGGAGTCTGCTGCCACTCGGAATACGTCGGATACGTTCCATCTTGGAAGTGAATGGACGGTACAGACATCGGATACAGAGCCTCTTCGTATCCGTTGGGATGTGCTATATCAGCATCTGCAAACTCCATTATTCCTTTAAAGTTATTTTTATTGTTGTAACTAGGCTTAGAAGGTGCGGTATCTATGAATCCCCCAAACCTCACAGTGCAATATAGGATGGGGGAATGCTACCTGGACTAAGATGGTGGTCAAATTTATATCCTTATCGCTGGGTTACCTGAACAGCGACACCATATTCCCTTTTTGAACTAGGTAACAGACAAGGCCATTTTTATTGGCTTAAAATGGTAGAGAACGGATTCGAGACAGCCGCGCGTGCAAGGGGTTGAGCATAACGTTCGACACGCACAAGGGGGCGTGGCTAATGCGCATGATGCAAAAGAAAAACTACAGTTGACAGACAGCTTGATTTTTTTTATTATAACTAAAAAGTCAACACCCCCCACCAAGTCGAAGAAACGAGAATCGATACATCCGGAAGACGAGACGGTTTAAGTCTAACCTTTTAATCTCTACCTAATATTCTATTACTCCGCTGCGGTGCAAAGAACACAATGGCGAGTTGTGTGTCTTTTTAGCGAAGTACGCGAGAAAAAGATCCGCAGTTGTCGCAACGTAATTAGACGAAGAAAGGGGGCCCGCAGTGTGTCTTTGGTGTGTCAAATATTGGTGGCTTTTTATTTGCACTTTAATGAAGCAGAACTAAGCTAATTGACTACTAAGAGTCGGTTTGTTATTCCTAATGGTCCTCCATTGAATAGTATAAAACAGTGGAGTTCTACACGAGAGAATTAATGCAGTCTGGCATTCCAATTCATATAGTTTTAACCAAGAAGATAAATATTAATTTGAATTTTTCCATTTTCCAGTCTTGTTTTGTTTAAATAGATAAGTTTTTCGATCCTCTCTCTCTTTAATTTTTTTTTTACACTAAAATTGTTCAAATAATTTTGCACATAGCTCATAGAAAAGAAAGAAATCTTACAACATAAGTGTCTGTCGTAATAGTTTTCCACACTTCATGTTTGTTAAGATATCATAAAAAAAATTAGGATAGACAATTAAAAATTTCTATTAATAGATGATTTTTATATCCTTCATATTTTAAACTTTCTTCGGGGCTTAACCTAATTATATGGGAAAAATTCATGAATTGGTCCAAAATATCTTAACAATAAGTTTTTTTTAATAAGAATAATCTTTGTGTACATAAATAGTGTAAGAAAAAAAATTATAATAAGATAATCGCTATGTATGTTAATAGTAACTTCATATAACAATGAATTATTGCGTTAACATTTTTTTTGCATACATTGCGCTTTATAATGCCAAACTGATGCATGCACATGTATGCGTTAATATTAAAATCCACAGGTTCAAAGAACGGTTGAAAACCCTGGCCTTTATGATTATGAAATGCATGCAAGAATATTGTGAAAATGGATGCCTTCATTTCCCGATATACATACTGTTACAAGACAGTTTCTCTCTCTCTCTCTCTCTCTCTCTCTCTCTCTCTCTCTCTCTCTCTCTCTCTCTCTCTCTCTCTCTCTTATTTACACGTACACCTGGGACAAGGTACTTTAAGTAGCAATTCTTATCTTAGTTTAATTTTTATATTTCTTTTTATGTAAAATTAAGTCCGAATCTCTTCGCATTTGTAGGTATTTTCTGTAGATAATTGAATTTGTGCGTCAAGAGCGTGTCGAATTAGGAAACATATTGAACTGTTATTGCAAAAAATAGAGAGGAAAAATCCTTGTAACTTACGAAAAATGAAACTTTATTCACAGGGGAAATTGTGAAATTTTTGACAAGTACAGAAAATCACAGAGTACAATAAGAAAGTTGAACTAGCGTTCGAAGTGATTGAAATTGCTGACGTTCAATCTTTGAACCCAAGGGATTAAAACGTAATCCCCTTGTACGTTCATCTGCGTTACACTCGCTTAGTTTGGCACTCAATAGGGCATTAGAGGGGGTTAATTTTCCCTAGTCCCGTGGCGTGGTCTCCCCAAATAGCATGATTTCATCCAGAAAAGAAATGCAAATACTCGGAAAGGATTTTCTCGTGCAAAGTCTTTAAACTATCATTAGCCTTAAAAATTCTGATATACTTATGAATTTTTATTTGAGAAAAAATCTGAAGTATAGTAGAATAATAAATTTATTGCAAACTGTAAATTTTAGTGTCATTTCTAATACTCCTTTCATCTATTGTAATCTGAAAATGATTATAAAAAAATATCGTCAGGGTATATATTTTTAACATACAAGTAAATGTATTTAATACTCCTACATACGTTATACATGTATGTTATCATTCAAAACAAAACTTTCATATAGCAGTTGTAAATTATAAAGCCCAACAAATCAGTTGTAAATTATAAAGCCCAACAAATGTATAAGTTAAAGAGAATTTGAGAAAATCTCTCTCTCTCTCTCTCTCTCTGTCGTAATTTATGAAGGAAAAAGACTGATATCGTGAAAACGTGACCAAAAGAGAATATTGAACGTAATATGCAGGCAAGAGAGAAGACAAAACATTTTTTAAAAAGTTTTTTTCTTCGGGATAATCCCGCCAATGGTGGATTCAAAAAACATAAATCAATTTTAACAATTTTCTGTTTCAGGGGAAAAAAATTAATTATTTCGCCTGCAGTTTTTGGCAGAAACATGAGCGGGCCACCGTCTCTCTTGACCGGAAAAAGACAGGTGCGAGCTCAGGTAGAGAAGAAAAACCAAAAGTCAGTTAACTTCTTTAATACCCAGACAATAATTTCAAGAAATGTTCAAACAAAATCCTCCCCAAACGAAGTGAAAATTGTGTGATTTATGGCTTTTTACAACTAGCGTAGTATATCCCCAATTAAAAAGATATTAATGCGAGGCGCAATGTTGTATTGGGGAAAGCTGATGTGACGTAACTCGGAGATCGATTTTTTATTTATTAACTCCCGTTAGGGCGACGGCATTGCCACTAGCATGCGTTTCTTTCATGTTTCTCTTTATCCAGAAAATTAAACTTTTTCCTATGTCTATAGGCCTATTCTGGAAATAGTTTAATCAATTTTAAAATTATTTATTCCTTCCAGAGTTTTCTTCGATAAAAAGCAAACATCTTAATCAAGGAGATATAGCACACAGACGCCGTTGTGCCTTAAGGTATATTAAAGGAAGAAATCGAAGTTGCACTTTTTTCCCTTCCATATGTAATTTCATTTTCAAAGAAAAAATAGCTGGTGATGCTGACTGTGAGCTAAAAATTTTCCGAAACTCCTAAATGTACAATGAATTTAGACGACACTGATGTTAATGTACATTTAGCAGGTGTCAAAAGTCGCGCTAAATGTGTGGAAACCATTAATGAAGATCACCATGTATGCTAATTGTTATTTCCCTTCCCGTCATAACGAAACATAAATTAGAGAATTTTATCAACTGTCAAATTTCTAGTGGTGACCTGCACCGCGGTGTCAGATTGTAACGGGGGGACTGAAACACAAGAGGGTTGAATGAAATAATGTACAGTTAAAAATATCATCAGCGGTGTGAGATTGTAACCGGGGGGACTGAAACACAAGAGGGTTGAATGAAATAATATAATCATCCATGCAACTTTGGTTTCAAAGATGACTTTTACATTTTTTTCTTCTAGGTATATTAAAAATGAATGTTTGAATATCTATTTAAAAACTGCACAGAATATTAAGTTAATGTTAAGTAATTCATGAACCTATTTAGCTGCAGAGCTGTAGCTCTCCGAAAAATATATATTGACAGACCGGAGAGCTACAGTGCCACCCATTGAAAAAACTGTATATTTATTGCGCACAAAAAAGTGCGCTGTTTCTAGATTTATTTCGCCATGTTTTTAATACTGCCATCTCAAAATATTACTAACATGTCTTCCTAACATATTCTTTCACTATTTCCACAACAAAATATACCTTATAATTGCTGTTAATAGCCCTCCTGGCCCTGAAATTGAGATCATCGAAAATTTCGCTTATTTATAATGCCATTTTGGTTTGCAAGATAATTCGGTCCAACGCGCTTCGTACGGATGTAAACTAAGAAAGTACTTGATAGAGGAGTAAGGAATCTTTTAAAATCTAGCTTTTTTGCAATTGATGTAAGAATTTAGAAGAATTAATCCAAAACCGTGAGCACATTTTTGTGCGCAATAAATATACAGTTTTTTCAATGGGTGGCACTGTAGCTCTCCGGTCTGTCAATATAATATATTTTTCGGAGAGCTACATATCTGCAGCTAGAACCTAATGTAAACGATTTACGAAAAGAATACTCTTTGAATGCGAAATATATCGTGGAAAATTTTTTAAAATACACCGAATAGTGAACGTAAGTGAAAAATAATTCACCTAATTGTTTTTTTCACGTCATTTATAAATGTACTTTTGATACATTTATTTTAAAAAGTAGATTGATCATCATTAATCTCAGTGTTAATAGATCACGTTCAGTTCTGTACAGTATTAAGACAGCAATGTTATCAATATTTTTTTCTTCAAATTAATTCATTAATCATAATTCAAACTTTTATTATTTATTTTTCTTTTTAATTCATATTATTCCACTCACAAAACAGCGAATTTGACTATGATAATAAAGATCGGGATCGAGATTCATGATATTTAAAATGATGTTAGGGTAAACAACAACAAAGGACTCTTCTCCGTCAAATCTGAAGAATTTGTGTTATTTTGCTTTATTATTTGGTTTGTATTTAATCATACTACGATGAATGTAATCCAGTTCAGTGACTTTATGACATATATTGGCTTAAAGTATTGAAATAATTAAAATATGTCTAAACTAATAATTAGTCATGCTTCATGGTCACAAAGTTAAAATGAATCAAACGGGGTAATTTTCTTTATACTTTTAGCTAGATCTATAACCAATATAACCAGAAAATGTTAAACAAAATGTAAACTATAATAAGAGATTCATACTACATGTATAATATCTGTGTATATCTTAAATGTATGTGGTATGCTTATCACAACGTACTGTGAACCACTGTCAGGCATTTGTATCCAGCATAGTTATCAGGTCCAGTGCAATCTCTTGATTAAGCTTTATAACTTGAAACAGCTATGTAGCTTTGTTGAGCTTTCAGTAATAGTTCGCTAGAATCACTAATACACGTGTTATTGTATAGTTACATGCATATATAATGGAACACCGACTAAAACAAGTACTTTTCATTGTACTTTAAAGAAACCCAAGGACCTACCTGTAAATTAAATGTAGTAAACAGAAAATACTTTATTTTAAATACATGTACAGTCTACTGTTGAACATATAAGTATGCGTATCATATGTAGCCCTGACTAGTTATAAAAAGTAAGCAATGTGTGTAACTGTGAACAAGTTGAAATGCTCTATTTGCTTTGACTTTTATAAATGTTTTTTTTTGTTTTAAGGTTCAAAATTCCAGTTTCAAACATGAGCAGTCCTAGTTGGCCGAACAGAACCATGGACAGTAAACCATTTATCACCAAGTATACATCAGATGATCCAGGTCTGAGATTTATTTATAATGTGTATACACAGTTAATCCTTATTATCTTGAACTTGATTGAACAATGAAAACTTTTTTTTTTTTTTTTTTTTTTTCTTTTTTTATTTTTTAATTTCAAAAAGTGACAGGTAAAGTTACATAAGTTTTTTAGTCACATTCACACACACATTCACACTTCCCCTCTGAATTTAAACAAAAATGAAATATAAAATATATAAAATTCGAGAAAAATTTAAAGTTGGTGTTTAAATAAGTGTTATCATGGTTATAACTCAAAAATATTTATCCACTGTGACCATAGATTATCAAAATTGTTCATTGTAAAATTTTGAATTGATATACATTTTTCTACTTTATACTTAAGAGTTAAATAATGTAGCAGCCCAGTAATCATAGGTATTTTATTCTGCTTTAAACAAGAAAAGATATATTGCTTTGTATATAAAATAATGAAATTTATCACCCTATTATGATAAGAAAATGGCGTTTCACCTAAAATAATATTGCATATGTTAAATCCAACTCTTTCAGAAGTTTTTGTAAATATGTGCATGCTAAGATTACTCCATAATGAAGAAATTTTTGTACAATTTAAAAATATATGTTGTATTGTTTCTATATCCTGTTTACAAAAGGTACAATGTTCATCAGATAAAATATTTATTTTCTTCAAATAATATTTCACTGGAAGTATTCTATGTAGGATTCTATACTGTAACCATTGAGCAGAAGTATCCATAGTTGTTCTGAAACAAACCTTAAAAACATCTTGAACACAGATTTCAGATTCTAAAAGCATTGATAGTTCCTGGTTCCATCTAAATATTGCTGTAGGAATGATGTTGTTACTATTCAAATATCTATAAATAATTTTAGTGCACTTTTCATATACAATAATATTTTCAAAATAAAAAGGAATAACAGGGGTACATTCCCTCTTAACAGATGATTTATCTACAGACATTGTTTTTAAAAACCTGGATATAGCACAAATAACACTGTTATATTGCATGATGCAAACATTAGACAAATGAAATCTATTTCCAAAATCTGTAACATTTAAAAAATTTCCTTCATTGTCTAAAAAATCACAAACACTTTTAACGCCATTTACATACCAAGTCTTTACAAAAATTGTTTTGTTTCCAATTTTTATATTGGGATTATACCACACAGGTAAGTTCAGAAACTTAGTTTTCATATATGAATTGTTGTTGAGTGTTTTCATGAAATATAACCACGAATTAAACACATCTTTCCAAAAAATGTTGTTATTTTTTACAATAAAGCAAGACACATACTCTTCACCAAAATCAAAAGCTTTATGCAATATGTCTTTACCATTAATTGCCAAAAATATATCTAACCATGGTTGATTACTTCTTGTTAATCTTTTAATCCAGGAGCATTTAAGAGATGTAATAAAGTTATTTATATCCAACATTTTTAATCCTCCTTGTAAAAAATCCTGAGTAATAACTTTCCTTTTAATTTTATCACATTTTGATTTCCATATAAACTCAAAGACTTCTCTGTTCAATAATGATAGAGTTTCTTTACTTGGATTTGGCAAAGATATAAAAAGATGGTTAAGTTTTGGTAAAACTAATGTTTTAAGAACTGTAACTCTGCCAATAGGAGTAAGAACCCTTCTTTTCCATTGCTGAATTAATGCTTTGATCTTTGGTATTTGAACATTGTAGTTTAAATCAATAATTTTATCTAGTTCTACTGAAAAATTAATTCCAAGTAAATTGAAAGTTGTACAACCCCATTCAAGTTTCCAACGAGAATGATGGAAAACTTGATTAGAGAATTTTTTTGAACCTATCCAAACAATTTTAGTTTTTGAGCTGTTAATTTTAAGTCCTGTAAACTTTGAGAAAAAATCAATTGTATCTAATGCTGCAAAAAGTGATTTAGGTGAACCGTCAAGGGCAAGCCAGGTATCATCTGCATATTGGGATATTTTATGTTCTGTTTTGTTAATAACAATTCCTTTAATACTTTGATTTTGTTTGATCATAATTGCAAGAATTTCTGCACAAAGAAGAAACAGATAAGGTGCCAAGGGATCTCCCTGACGACATCCTCTTTGGATATAAAACTGTTCGGATAAAAATCCACATTGAAGCACAGACGCACAAAATTTTGTATTTAGAATTTTAACCCATTTAATAATGTTTTTACCAAACCCAAAAAATTCTAATACTTTATACACAAAGGTCCAGGATATTGAATCAAAAGCTTTTTCGAAGTCTATAAGTACAAGCAATCCCGGTATATTTTTAGATTCAGTGTAATCCATAAGATCATAAAGAAATCTGGTATTTTCACCTATATATCTTCTTTTTAAAAATCCAAGTTGAGTATTTGATATGATACTGTTCAGGGTGGATCTTATTCTATGACTAATACAACCTGATAACAGTTTATAAAACACATTTAAAAGTGTGATAGGTCGCCAGTTTTTCAAAAATTCTCTTGGCTTATCACCTTTTGGTAAGCATGTGATTAACCCTAATCTTTGAGAAATGGGAAGTTCTTTCCTCTGAAATATGTCATTTATGGCAAGTACTATAAAATGTTTTAAATCTGACCAGAAAAATTTAAAAAATTCTGCAGTAAAACCATCACTTCCTGGCGACTTATTGTTTTTCATGTTTTTTAACACCTCTAAGACTTCATTTTCCAAAATTTTTCCCTCAAGTGTATTGGCAATATGGTTTTCAAGTTTTGGAACCTCATTAACTGTTATAATTTCTGCAAGATCTATGTCGAGAAGTTCTGCATCTACAGAAGTATAAAGAGATTTGTAATACATCCTGATTTTATTTAAAATTTCCGACTGATTGTAAATAGTTTCATTTTCCTCTGTTTTAATCTTTTTAATAATTTTATTTAAATAATTACGGGATTCTAATTTACAAAAATATTGAGATGGTTTTTCTCCATATTCAACCCATCTTGCTCGAGATCTTATGATGTGACCTTGTAACTTTTCTTTTCTTAAATTCTCAAGGTCTGTTTTTTTCTCCTCTATTAAATGTAGATTTAATGTTCCGGTATTCTCTGTTTCTAATTTTTCTATTTGGGCAATTAACAAGGCTTCTTCTTTATTTTTTTCTTTCTTTCTATATGAGGAATATGAAATAGTAATGCCTCTTATCTCCATTAGAAGGACTTCAAAAAATGTACTGTTATCCATATTTTCTATAAGCACATTATTCTTTTCGTATTTGTTTCTAACAGATTTTATTGTTTCTTTCACTTCGGTAACGTATGTTTTGTCTACAAGTAAAGAGTTATTAAATTTCCATACACCTTTCCCTTTCTTAAAGGTATTGAATTTTATATCTAGAACCACTGATGAGTGGTCAGATCTGTACCCTGGTTTAATTACTAAATTTTCAACCAAGTTGCACATATTTTCAGAAATTAAAATATAATCTAATCGTCCTTGTTTTATTGGATTTTTCTTTCGCCATGTAAATATTTTTAAATTTGGATTCAAAACCCTAAAATAGTCTATTATTTGTAAGTCATTCATAATTTCTAAAAGTTTTTCTCTTGCCTTTGGATTGTTAATGTTACAATAATTTTCTGTATCTATTGAAGGGTCAAGAGCCAGATTAAAATCACCACATAAAATAAAGTAATCATTATCAAATTCTAAAAATGTCTCTCTTACTAATTCATAAAACTCTGGATTGTCAGAATTTGGTCCATATATATTAATTAAAGTAACTTTATTATCCTCGATTGTCATATCGAGAGCTAATAAATTACCATAATCGTCCTGTTTCTCCCTGTGAATATGAAATTCAAAATTGTTATTAAAGAGAATGCATACCCCTCTAGAGTTTGACTTGTACGAATTAAAAATACATTTATATCCCCATTGTGTTTCAATATAAGGTTCTATTTCTTTAGTAAAGTGCGTATCTTGCAAACAGAGAATTGAAAACCCTTTTTTCTTATAATAATTTAAAACATCCTGTCTCTTGGTACCTGTTGCCAAGCCTTGACAATTCACCGTTGCTAGTTTAATTGAGCTACTTATTTAGTTTGTACTGTTTTAGAAAAAAGCAATAAAGAGACTCGAATATGAAAACACCATCTTTCTGAATAATGAAAACATGATGATATTAGAAAAACAGGGGGACATACAAACACACACACCGACACACTCACACAAAAAGTAAACATGATCTGAATTTACCGAATATCGAGCCCGATCTCACAGTCAAAATGTGTTATTTTCACAAAGACCACTCCGCTGCATATATGAGTAATTATTTAGTAACCTTTCAATTTTTCAGACACGTTGTCTAAAATGTCAAATTTGTAGCGATTTCCTTCTTCGTCGTGGGCGAACACTTTTCCATTAAAATACCATGCACCATGAATTCGCGGATCATTGTTCAAGTCGCGCACCAGTTTAGCGTTCATTTGTGTTAGGTGATCGTGCATGGTGAAGATCTTTTGAAGATTTTTGTCAGCTCTATTTTTGATTACCATGATCTTGATGTCGGTGTTTCGAAATTTTGCGATCACAGGTCGTGGTCCTCTTCCATCTCCTCCGGGAATCCGATGGATCGCCAAAACATCTGCGGGGTCAAGGTCAACGTTCACCGCTTCCTTGAGTGTCACACATAGCCTTTGTTTAAGATCTTCATTTTTCTCCTCTGCCCAATTCATAAATTTTATGTTAGATTTTTGGGAATACTGCTGGTTTTGATTAGCGAGTGTGATTGCAGACCCTGCAATAGATTCACATGTTTGAAGTTGTTTCTTCAAGTCCCTCAATTCCTTTGCCTGTACACTTAGTTTTTCTCTAAGAGTATCAAAATCAAGATTAAATCCATCAGAAATCTCTTTTGTTTGTGTTTGGAATTCTTTATGCGTTCTCTCTATTTTCTCCTCGAATTCTTCCTTAACTTTATTTTTAATACCCTTTTCGAAATCTTCTTTCATTTCTGAAATTATTTCCTTTTTTATTTCACCTTTCAGTTCATTTTTCATTTCGAGCAAAATCTCTGAAACTATAAGTTTTACATCCGATTTCTTGACCATAGATTCTCTAATCTCAGTGAGACTGTCCTGAATTTGTTTAAGATCGTAAGTGATATCGTGATGTTCTGATTGACTATCGTCTTGATTGAGGGAATGATCGCCGCTACTTGTTCTTGGTTTTTTCACTGCAGCTTTCTCAGAAACAACGGATTTTCTTATAGACATAGGTGCAGCTTTTAAATCTAGTTGCACAAATTTTTTTGGTTTTATTTGTTCTTTGTCTGGTGTTTTTTTGTTAGATCCCGCTTTATCCGAGGGCATCGTGAGTGAATGCGTGTATGCGTGAGTGAATACGTGTTCACAGTGAAGACGATGAAGAATGTCGTAGATTTAAACAGCACACTTCTTACGCTACACTAAGCCCAAAGCTAATGCAAAACTCACCAATATTGAATAATAAGTCCTTTCCACAGAATTAAACACACTTAAAACCATATAGAAACAAGGTTTAGGAAATAAACAGCGGAGCCCAAATTTTTCGTCAGTCACAGACCATCACGTGACCGGAACTCCGAACAATGAAAACTTTAATAAATTCAGGGAATTGAAATATTAAGGGTAAAACACTTAGGAAACAAGAGCATCGTCATGGCAAAGTGGAGCATCCCCTCACAAAGAGCATATCAAAACAGTATTCAACATTTACAAGGGTTGTCCCAAAAAGTCATAGACAATGTTTATAACTTTTTTAACATGCAACCAATACTAACCAAATTTTGCATAGACATAATATATTCCATGTTCTTTAAAATTGTGAATTCTTAAATATATATCTTTCATATTGTCACAGGTGGTGAAAAGTCAAATCTCAACCGGGACTCGAACCCAGGGTCTCTGGTGTACTGTGCCAGTGCTCTTACCAACTGAGCTATTGAGACCCGATATATTGACTGACTCTCACGCACCTGTGAACCCGGTGACATATTCCCCCTCTTCGTAGAAATTCGTCCCCGAATTTTATGAGTTAAGGAAATGCGTGAAGCATATTCCAAGGGAACAGTGGGTTGTTTTCGTTGGGCGCCAAATGTATTAGGCGGTGAAAAGTCAAGTCTAAACTGGGACTCGAACTCAGGGTCTCTGGCGTACCGTGCCAGTGCTTTTAAACCGAGCTATTGAGACCCAATATATTGACTGACTTTCACGCACCTGTGAACCCTGTGACATAATTAATAAAATTGGGACAATTTTTATGATGGCCGATATGGTCTGTCGGCGCACGAACAAATTTCCAAAAAATATACATATATAACTAAAACATTTGCTTTTATTTCTTTGGTACTATGTAAAACATTAGACTGAAATTTAAATAAGTGAAACCAGAATCAAAATTTTGATAACATATCAAATTTTCGCATAAATAGCATTAGAAACAGACGATTGGTGTCAGGATTTTCAAAGTGTTGTTGGAATTGAGTTTGATGAAAATGACGTCGTCAAATGCATAACTGCCGCACGGAGATGTAATAAATTGTTTTGGATATGGTTTATACATATGGTTCAGAGACGGGAAAAAGGAGTACAGACATGACATTAAACACTAGATTCGCATAGAGAAGTTGTTTTTAAATGGTATGAGGTTCAATGATAGTTTTTCCTCTGTACCGAAAAGTAGTTGCCGCATGTAAGAAGTACCATACTGTTTGTTAAACACAGACAGTAGGGAAAGTTCTAGGCCACAAAAGACGTCAAACAATGTGTACAGTGTAAGATGATTTTTCGACTAAAATTTCAACCGAAATTTGAATCTGCCAAAAAAAATGGACAGAAGTGAATTTTAATAAATCCCTTTGTCAAGAGTGGTTTTTCACTCTTAAAAATTATTGGGATGTTAAACAGATGCATGTGTAGTGGAAAAAGAGATCATGACGTTATAAGAGACATAAATTATGCTTGCTTTCATGATGTACACATACATGCTTTCTTTATTTTTTTCATAATTTTCTTATTAAACATGTTAAATGTGATATTATCATGAAACTTGAAATGCATGATCATGAAATGTTACTTTTTGATATGACAAGAAAAGAAATTTAATTTAGCAAAGAGAAACTAAACTGTTTTCCCTGTCTTTGACTTTTTGGGACAACCCTCGTATCCTGGTGCAAATTATGTCACTTTTGTTTCACACAGCATTAACTCACTCACTCTGAAACAAACCCACAAATACAAATTGCCTCACTATATTCCCTTCAAGTTTTGTGAGGGGATAATATCATTAATATGTACATGTATTGTTGGGACTTCCAAATGACCTTGACATTTCCAAGGTTTTGGAGATATCAGTAGTCTAGATACCGAAGTTCAACTGTATTTTGTATATTGATGTTATAAATGAAATTAATATTGAAAAAAAAAAAAAACAATGATAATTTTTTTATACAAGAAGAAACTGCATGAATATCACAAATACATGTATATGTATATTTGATGTCTGTTTCATAGAACATGTATGCAGCACATAAATGCTTGTAATTTTTTTGTTTTTGATTTCCACAGATAAATTACAACTGAGAGCAAACAATGGAATCCGAAGCAACAAATACCTACCTGTGGACTATGAAAAACTCAAACTTATGGCAACAGAGAAAAAATTTGCAGCACAGAAAAGTCTACTTAAAGTGAAGAAAATTGAACAAATGTCAAAACAGAGTAAAGAAAACCTTCTCTTGAAACAACACAAGCTAGTCTGGCAAAAAGAATTTATGAGACTGAACAACTTACGTAAGCGGATTCAAGCAGAAGTCGAGAGTCACCGCAGACAGAACGCCATGGAAGGAAGTGGTTGCTGCCGAATTTTTGAACACTTTGATCTCTATGAGTCATCTTTGGATGAGGAGTTTGCTAAGTTTAAGCAGAATACCTGTGAACCTGTGTGGAATTTAAGGTAAAGTTTCAGTAATACTTGTAGTATTAGTGATATAAAATCTACAAAAGTTACAAAATGGGAATGAAGAGCATAGTACATTTTTATATGTGCCAAGATAATGTGAAATTTAAACAAAGATTGCCAATTTCATGGAAAAATATTGTTAATCAGACATCAATAATTATTAAGAAACAAAAAAATAAAAATTGGACATGAGACTTTACGATATTGGTTTTTGAAATACATGACTCTTTTTATGATTGGAGATCGAAATAAATAAATAAATCTGTAATTTTCAGTATAATGTAAACTAGAATGATTCAGCATTTGTCACATGTAATATTTAGGGGGAGAAGAGGACAGATGTTGTGGGTCCTAATGAAAACTTTCTTAATTTAGATTTTTACTAAAAGTAAACTTTTGATCTTACTCTCAAATAATAACAATGTGCAAATGCATATTTTAATGTTCACAGAAGAAGCATTTCTAAATTTTTATGATAAGACTTTTGATAAAAGGATACATGTTTTGAACACGTAATGATTATAATTCTATATACAGGGTTATTTTCACCCCTTATTATTTTCGCCCTTTCACAATTGCAAACAATTTTGCCCCTTTTTATTTCGCCCATTTACAGTTTTTTTTTACGAAATAATATTATACTTTTTTCTTTGAATTTGCCCCCGTCTTAAATTTGCCCACATGTCTGGGGCAAAAGGGGCGAAAATAAAACGGAGGCAAAAATTTCCTGTATACAGTAATTATATGTAATCTGTACAACAGGGAAGATTTACAGTTTTGGATACAAGACAACCACGAAGGAATCAGGCTGGGGGATCCAGAAGTGGTGGAGAAACACGCTGAGATCCGCCAGACCATAAACCATGTCAAAGGTCAACAGAACAGCGTGCTGCAGCAGCTGTATAACGAACAGAAATGTCTGGAGGGGGAACTACAAACAGGTAATTATAGCTCATATTGTCTTAGAGAAGGGGTATGAGACACTTGATACAGTTCAAGTGCACTATTTTCTTAGAGGAGGGGTAAAAGACACCTAATTCAAATTAAGTGCATCCTAGGCCATGTTTTAGAGAAGGGGACACTGAAATTCATTGTAATTATAGTGACCTTTCTTGATGTTTTGGATCTAATTTTAGACCAACTTGGTAAGATCGCAGAGACCTGTCTGCTACATGTATATAACAAGTAAGGTTTTGGAGACAGCCTATGATATAATGTGGAAATTGTTTTAAATTATTAATTGATTTACTTTATTTCTGTTTATCGTTTAAGGTTTTCTGTGGGAAATAACTCATGGTGGATCAGAGACGCCTCACATTGACTTTGCTGAGGGAATTCCAGAGGAAGCATTTGACCTTGAATGTTCAGATGATGAGCTCAAGGTCACAGTGCTACAAGAATTTATTATTATCGATCAGAAATTCAGAGAGAGGCTTCACTTCCTAGAAGATGAACATTCCAAGATTTTGAGGTATGTTAGCTTTAAGAATATTATTTTTCACAGACAAACCACAGCATCATTTCTATTCATTTCTTTGGTACATGTAATGTTATTTAAGTGTTTAAAATTTGCAGGTGAGTTTACAATTATTGAACACTTTTGACACCTTATAATGGGATTGAATGTTACTATTTTACTCACAGGCACTTGTTTCTATAATAAATTTTTGACCCACAGTATAATAATAACATGTGTTATTATTAAACTATGGGTCAAAAATTTATTACAGAAACAAGTGCTTGTGATTTTACTGCATGTATTAAAAGTTTTATTGAATACATTATTTACTGATTCTATAATTTTTTTGAATTATTGCTATACTTAGTGAAAATTATCTCCAAGAGTTATTTTCCTTTAAGCAGTATTTTCATGTGACAACAATAGTCAGGAGGATACTTCAGGATATAAATTCAAAGGGAAAATACTAACAATGGAAATTTTTGTTGTTTACAGTAAAGGTCTTCATGGAGGGTGGAGTGATGAAGACCATTTCTGTTTTTTGGCGAATTATGAACAGTATCCTAGAGAACTCAATAACAGGAGGAAGTTGATTCTAGACAGACTGAGGCGCCACCTACCACACAAAGCTAGGCATGAGCTTGTGAGTAGTCTCAAGTACAGATGTACTAAAAAATTAATAAAAATGTACAAGAAACATGACTGCAGAGCTGAATAATATGCTTCATAAGAACTTTTTTGACAACAAATATTAAATGGTTTCTTTTACTCAGAAATAAAATCTTTTAATATATAAATGATATAGTTTAATGGTACTTAAAAATTAATTCTGTCGTAGTAAGTTTGAATATTTGCTTGATGATAGAGATCAAATCAATGTCGTCATCATAGATAGTATTAGTCAAAAATGTGTTACATTGTATATGACATAGAATTCGGTGGTTTTAAGACTGCTTTTTACCCCAAAACTTGAAAAGACTCTGTCAGTATATCCCATCTTCTCAGTGTTTGTGTAATAATAACAGGTGGCTCATGAGGAGTGGTGTGAGGCAAACAAGTATTTTCATGAGCGTAAGCGAGCGCTGGTGGTGGCGTGGAGAAAGGGCCGAGCTGAGCTCCTTAATAAAGCCCGCAGTACCTTTATTGAGGTGGAGATCGCTAAAGAACTGGCGGAAGTGAAGGCAGAGTACAATCGACAACAGAAAAAGATCCGATACGAACTTTACGAGAAGGTAACTAGTCAGCAAATATATATTTTTTTATTTAGAACATGTAGAAAAAGGACATTTTATTTCATTTTACATTTCATTTCATAAGTAAAGAAAAAAAAATCAGAATAAGAAGTTCTGCTTAAGATACTTTTAAATGAGATAGATTTTTATCATTAAGATGTCAATTTTAGAAAAAATCAAGATGCTTAAGTATAATTATAATTTTCAAGAAGTTAATGTGCATGTTAAAAACAAATACTGCAAAATTTAAGCTAAAGAAAACGATAATAAATAATAATATGTGTTCATGTGTATTGTATAGAATGATTACATTTAAAATACATTAATCTGGTAACATAGAGGACAAGGCCTAAAATAAAAATTAGTTTGTTTGCAGTTGCCTACTGACCCACTGAAAATGCACCCGACCCAAACTTTTTTTTTCAGCCATTTCGTAATTTTATTTTTTTTTTTTTTTCAATTTTCAGAATATTGAAACTGTTTCATTTTCAATTTTTGACTTTTGTTTTTATCAATCAGTGGTTTATAACAAGAGTGGAGCTTACTCATGTTTAGTAGGCCTATGAAAACATGGAAAAGCTCTATTAATTGTTAGCTAACAAAAATCTGATTTTTTTTTTTTTCAAAAAAAAAATTGATAATAATAAAAATGCATCCCTACCTACCCAGTCTAAAAATAATAGGTCGGCACTGCAAACAAAGATTTTTTTAAGCCTAGCCCAAAAAATTCTCATCAGAGTTGTAATTCATTAAAAAAATTGATTGCTAAGAGTTTTGTTAGGTTTTTTTTTATTTTTGAGAGAAAGTTTTTTTTCCTAATAAATATAGAAGGTACACTTATACATTTCATTTCAGTATCGATGATATAAAAACTGAACAATTTATCAGTGACTAATTGATTGATTACATGTATATTTTTCAGATCTTACATTAAATGATTAATGATTGATTGATTTATTTTTTAATCAGATCAAACAATGGAGAGAACAAAAAATGGAAGCCATGATGTTACAGCAGAAGATAGATGAGAGAAAGAGAGAAGAAGTTCAGGAGGAGCTCAGGCTCGAGATGGAGAGAGAGAAGAAGAGACGGGCACATGAAAAGGAACAGGTCAGTTATTATAGGTTCAGGACGGGCACAGAAAAAGAACAGGTCAGATATAAGGTTCAAGAGAAATTTAGACTGGAGATGGAGAGAGAGAGAGAGGAACAGACGGGCATGCAAAAAAGTACAGGTCAGTTATAAAAGGATCAGGACGGGCACACAAAAAAGAACAGGTCAGTTATAAGATGTTCAGGGCTGGCACATGAAAAAGAACAGGTCAGTTTTAAAAGGTTCAGAATGAACTCAGGCTCAGGATGGAGAGACAGAAGAAGAGACTGGCAAATGAAAAAAGAACAGGTCAGTTATAAAAGAACAGGTCATGCAGTTATAAAAGGTTCAAGAGCTAGAGCTCAGATTTGAGATGGAGAGAGGGATGGGCTGCTGGATTAGCAGAGACTTTTAGAGTTTTGAGAAAAGATTCTTCTGAAAAAGAATGTGTTAAAAATGCATCTCATACTCAGTTATTCCTGATTCATTTTTTGTGATCGGCTTAATTGTCTGGTCAGTTGATTCAATACGAGGGGTCCGGCCGATTTTTTTAACTTTCTGTGCATACATTTATGTCCTGCACTTTACTTTGTTGACAAAGCATCGTGTAAATCTTTAAAATACTACCTAGCAATATTTCAACCCCTATACCTACAGATGCAAAGGTTTACACAGTTACATGGAGAAAATACTTATTATCAAGTTTAAGCTCTTTAGCTGCATAAGAATTTTATTCTGAAGTTCACTTCCCTTTTAAGTGCAGTTTATTTATTCATTGGTGTTTTTGAAAGCAAGGGTATATCTTTCTGTTTCATTATGACTGATTACATTTAGTACTGGACGGTCATGACATTTCAATATTATATGGCAAGGTTTTATCTCTTTGACATATGCACAAATGTGGGGCTAAAGTTTGATTATTTTTTAAATTTTTTAATTACAGATTCAAAAGTTTGCAACTGATAAATTGGAGAAACGAAGACAACAAGATCAGCGTGATCAGGAAAGAATGGCTGAGCTGAAAAGACGAATGGAGGAACAGGCTATCATTGACAAAGAGAGGTAACTCAAGTATTTCTCGGATGAAAATGTTTAACTGTAAAGCAGGGCCGCGTTTCACAAAACTATCGTAAGATTTATCCTAAGGTCTTTCTAAAATTTTCTTTGAAATATTGAAATAATGTATGTCTCATATACTTTTTTTTGCAGATAAACCCTCGAAAAAAAACAACAAAATTTATTGCATCAACTAAAGATAATGTACTTTGTGTGTGTGTGTTGGGAAGGGGAGGGGGTCATTAAAATTAAATTCGAGTTAATTTCATCACAAAAAATTAATAAAATTTGCTGAAATGTCTTTTTGCTCGGGAAATAGACGCTGAAAGAAAAACCTAGCGAATTTAATAGTGTGCCTCGTAAAGCGTTGGTCGTGATTAGTAAACTTTCATTTTACTGGTTAAGATAGTGAGTTGTGGAGCGGGGGTCGTATAGATACTTAGATGCCTAGTGAAAGTTACTTATCAATTCTAATTTTACTAATCTTATCTAGTATAAATATACCAATATCTGGTAAAACTTCTTTTAAGGTAGTGATTGTATGGACAGTAAATTTACTAGTTTTCTTCGTGACTTTAACTAGTTATTTTTTTACAGTGGAAGTTTTTGACAAAATGCATGTGATCACTTTTAATTAAAACTACTACTGTATCTGAAGCTTTGCAAATCATGAAAGATTTTTTCAATTAATCCATTTGAAACATCAAATTGTGTTCAAAGTTCGTTCATAAAATTTATTCGATGCAGTAGCCCTTTTACCAAAAAATCTTACAACTAAGAGCAAAACTTCTCCCCCATTCTACATTACTTAAGCTGCAAAAAATCTTATTTTTCTATTACTTTACAGAAATATTTTATACATGAATTTGATTCAATTATTTAGAAAAATATTTTTATCAAATTAAAAAAAGAAAGTGTGGTAAAATTTAAGTCTTAGTCGTAATTTTTTTTGTGTCTTTGAACGCTTCAACTACTGCAACAAAATAACAATGCTAACAGATGAAGAAGAGAAACAAAAGAAAAAATTCCATTCAAAATTTTAGGGTTTCAATATTATTAAGAAAAGCATAAAGAAAGCAAGAACATACAGCATGAAATATTACAACATATTGAATTGTCATACACATTCCTGTGGATTAATAAGGATACCTCATCTAATTTTGTACGACTGAATAAAATGTTTATTTTGAAATTAAATCACTAAAGTTAGAAACATATAAAAACCATTTATATATTGTCTGCCACATTGTAACAAAATAAATTAAAGTAAAATTCATGGACTTATCAAATCCATAAAAATACACATGGTCCAAAGAAGCATTTGGGGTTTTTGGGGTGTGCAAATCAGTTGGGAGGGGACACAACCAAAGAAAATGCCTTGAAATGATTAAAGTGGAAATACATAAAGTAGGTACATTTTAGTTTCTCAATCGTATATTTTTTCGCAATTTTTGGGGGGTGGGGTAGGGGTGGGAGTGTCATTGTTCTGACTGGCCGGATATAGTCCAAAGGATTGTTCTATCTCTAAAAACCGTTTTCTTTAAATATCCTTCGGTTTTTAGCCAAAATACATACTGTCACAAGTTTCACTTTAGACTTAAGACATGTATTTAGTTGTCTTAAGATTATGATAGATCTTACGATTATCATAAGATATGACAGTTTTGTGAAACGGCTATGGTGCAATCTTACGATAATTTTCGGTCTTAAGACAGATCTTAGTCATAAGATAGTTTTGTGAAATGGGCCCCAGGATAATAAAGTATTTCACTGTAGAAAGTAGAAAACTGCAAGTATTTCTCTATAGAAAACTGTGAAGCTAAGTAATTACCGGTAAGTATTTCTCTGTAGAAAACTGCAAATGCTGCTGCTTAAACAGGTGCAATCCGAAAACAGATTGTAACTGTATGTAACTCTTTAAAATATGAATTTTTCTTTGATTATGATCTTATTACCTTAAAATGTGACTACTTTTTTCAGAATTGAGTATCGTAAGGAACAGTTAGACCAAAAGATAGAGGAAAGAAAGATGAAAGAAGAAAGGAAGGCTGAAGAAGAGATAGAGAAGGAAAGAAGACTGGAAGCCCTGAGGGAGCAGGTTTGTTTGATAATGTGCACTGTGCAATTTATTAAATTGGGTGGGGGTTATATTCAGTATGCTTAAGGTGTATGCCATAGAGAAAAAAAATTCAATTATTTCACGAGCTATACATGTACATCTAAACGGAAACTAAAAGCAGTAAAATAATCTTGCATCAAAGATAGCTGGAAACATGAGATAATTAATGCATGAAAGTCTATGCCTGGCTCGAGTTATTTATTAATTAGAACATATGATACAAACAAAAAATATGGATGCCTGGATTGGTATTTTTTTTTGCAAATGATGCAAAAAATAAATTTCTAAAATAATAAGATAAATAGCAAACCTTCTATGATGTTCAAAAGTCCACCTTGCTGCCCTCACTTCAAATCCCACTAATTATTGTGAAAATTTTTACTGTAAAATCATTAATTTTTATATGTATAGGTCAGAGTGATAGCTGAAAGTGATCCTGTGAGAATGATGGCAGATACAAAGGTATAACTACATATTTCTGTTTGTAAACTACGAATTACTTCAAAAGTATGTGCTTCTCTTCAGTCAATTTAGAAGGAGAAAAAAAGGGAAACCTGTAAAACACATTTGTCCATTCTTTATTTATAAAAATAATTGTTCTCTGTAGGCATGGCAAGCCAAAAACGAAGAAGATGATGAAATAAACATCAATAAACCTTTGTTTGCTATAAACACATTCCACTCAAAACAGGTAGGACACATAATTCTAAATGATGACATTTTTCTTGATTTGCTGCTTGAAATCACTTAAAGCAACTTTTATTTGCAACAACTTTATTTCGCGATTTACCAGAGATAATTTTTTTCGTGACGATTAATTTTCGTGATCAAGTCTTTTTGGAAATGTTGGTAATAGACAGAAATTTTAAAGACTGGTTCATGGCAAGATATATTTGCACTGACAAGGCCCTCTCAAACGTCATGAAAATTTCTCCCATGGGAATAAAAGTTGGTTTACAGTACCCAGTTATCACTATAAGGCTATAAAAAATTAATTTCTTGGTTCTCAGGCCTTGGTTCTCAGGCCTTCCCTAATCTCTTCCAAGGGTGTCTCATTGAACCTTTTTTATTGCTAAGTCAATAAAATAAAAAACAACAAATCACCTCCCTCATCATTTTTTGAGGTTTTGTACAATGTAAAAAAGCTGCCTCATCATGTTTTTGGGGCAATAAAAAAGTAAAAAAAAAAAAGCCTCTCTCCCTCATCATATTTCTTTAAAAAAAGACCAAAGAATCAAGGAATTAACTTTGCATGGCCTAATTATTTTTTTAATATAATCAGATAACCACGGATCCTCGGATGCGGCTAGAGGCAAAACTGAGGGAAGCCGGTCTCCATAACTCCCCCTACGCTCGACAGGTAATGGCCGCCGTCCCTCCCCCACAACCCCCTAGGAGGGACATGGAATCCACTGTCTTTAAGTATGACTGAAGAAGCCAGAATAAAGCGGCAGATTATGTTATGTTTAAAGTCAGTGGTTTGGATTGCCGAAAAGTGTTGGAGAGCCATTAATTCACTCTTATATATGGTCACTAATAAACTGTTTTCTATTCAATTTAATGTTATTTTTTTGATTTATTGAATTCGTTGAATTTATGCCCAGATTGACTTGATAAATAAATTAAAACATACATTATAAATTTTTTTTCATCTTATGGAAATGAACAGTGGAATATTTGGATCAATTTTCTACCTTTGCTTGACAGATTTGACACATAGTTTTTTAATAAAGTACTATTAAATAATTGATGATTTAACAATGAAATCATATATGATGTGTATACTTTTTAATGTAGTTAAATATGTCAATTGTTCTCTCTTTGTAATAAAAAGCATATGTTTACTTATATAACTGCAGCAGTACAATTGAGGCACACTTATTCAAAAGATGACATGCCTGCATTTAAAAAGTTTTAAACAATTAGGGTTTCTATAATGTGTACTCGTACTTCTGTGGCTTTGAAAAGAACTTAATCCATGTGGTTACATATCATTGGGCCTAAAGCAATACTACATTATATTTAATTAAGGATAAGAAAATGATTTAACTGGTTTTGATTATATTCATGACAAATTATACTACTTATGTAGTAAAATACCCTTATCAAGTGTATATGGGCTGAATGTTTACAGGTTGATTCGATATATAACAGCAAGCTCTGTGCAAAAAATAATTAATAGAATGAAGTAAGCCATTGACAAACAAGTTTATGAAACAAAAATATCAGGTTTGTTAAAAGATATCTTATGACTTCCTTAGAAAGGCCATAGTAGATACAATGACCTTTCAGCAAATATAATCTTCCATTCTACATACCATGTATGTCCCACAGTGGGAATCGAACCCATGATAAGGATCAACTTCTTACTCTGTGACTCTAAACCAGTCACTTTTACCACTGTGCCACGATTTTGTTCCACTTGCTCATTGAAAGATGTATATTAAGTTATATGCAATTATTAATCATTAAGGTATGTCACTCATCAGCCCTTTAGAAAAGTTTAGGCAGAACCTCTTTCCTCAAAACTTTTTAAATTTAATTCATTTTTTATGACATATTTAAATTAACAATGTAAATTGTTCAACATTCAGTGGAAAAGCTGCTCAAAAATTCACAAAGAAGCAAAATTTATGAAGGACTAAATTCCCCTATTTTCTCTACGATTTTGAGTCATACTTAATGAGTACATGTACTTATCCAAAATATTTTTCTCAAAAACAGGAAAAAATTCTTGACGTAACAAATTTCACGAGTGACATACATAAATTCTTATATTCTCTTCTCAAACATATTTATTATGTTTTTTCAATAACTTTTTATAAATATTTTTCCATGTGCAACAATATGGAATATTTAATATTCTATTCCATTCCATCAAACAAACTTAAGACTTTATAGATTTCATTGCAATGAAAATAATATAAGAAATTGATTCTTAAAGAATATTTTATATAGATTTTACATTATTTTTAAAAAATAGTATCGAACATTTATTTTATATTCATGTACTTCTTATATGCACGGTTAAATTTTTGTTTAATATCTACTATAACCACTATTTAAGCATGATTTTCTTATATAAGATTTTTCTATTAATTTGTTTAAGAAATAGTATGAATTATTGATATCGTATATGTATATTTCCCTGATTCTTCAAGTATAACTCAAATGTATGAAATATCACTGTATACAGTTGTCAAAACAGAAAGGTTTCAAAATAAAATGAAAAGATTTATTATTCCCTACTAATCCCTAGAAATTTACCTAAAAGATGGTATCTTTTTAATTTAATTTTATTTCTTTACATTGAAGTCTGTCGAATGCTGTAATAAAGTTACTGTAAAACTTCGGTAAATTTATCATTTTGCAAAAAAAAAAAACTTATAAAAGTTACACTAGTTTTAAAACTGAAAAAAAGTTTGATGAAATATTGTAATGTTTCTAAATATAACAAGAAATAGATTCGAAACAGTACTTACTTTAAAAAAAACTATTTTCTTAACCCCTGCATGCTATAAAAGCATCATTGCATTAGATTTTACAATATATCAACGATGATTTTAATTTAATCTAATGTAGGTATAATTACCTACCAGTTTGAGTTATTTTGATCTTATCTCTTTTTATTTTTCATGAACAATTGATTCGAAACCTTTCTGAAAAAAAAAATCGACATTTAGATTTTGTCATATGAAGGCTTCAAAGTTTTGGAATTTGATGAGCATATGTCTGCATGTGAATCTTTTTCTAAAAATTGCAACATCTCGTCCTCTTTTGACATGTTTGATACTTCATATGTTAGTCATTTTCTGAGTTTTTCAAGATTACTTGTCCATTTATTTTTCAGAACAATCAACTTCATCATGTCCTTTATAAATACCAAGAGAGGTTATGCATTTTTTGCGACTTAAGAATCACCAATATTATAAAAATTATATTTGTCATTTCTTATTCGTTTACCAAAGTACCTGTAATTAAACATTCCGTGTGTTGACTTTACGGAAAATTATAATAAAAATTATAAAACAATTTCCCCCAGTGTGAAAGTGCTCGATCGCATATATATGACATAAGAAAGCTGTAACTGAAAAGAAGATATTATAATATTTTAATGAATATACATGTATGTATTCAATATTTGAAAAAAAAATAATTGAGTTAATGTAGAATGTCTATCCCCGTATGCAAAATGGGATAAATTGCCTGACCTTAAGTTTGAATGTTCCAGATCTCCCGACTGTTATAAAATGTTGATCAAACTCATGTTTTTTTTGTTTTTGTTTTTTTTTTTAAAATATATATATATATATATATATATATATATATATATATATATATATATATATATATATATATATATATATATATATATATATATATATATATATATATATATATATATATACAAGGTCACGGATGGAAATTTATATAAAGCACTAAAATGACCAACGACATGAACAATAAAAATTGTCAAATTTTTGGGACGCCCTGTCCCTTCCTCAGGACAAAGGTAAAAGTTAAAAAGTCATTAGAACAAAGGAAAAAGAGAAACAAAAACAACTAGCACTACTACTAAACTACTAAACACTATATATTTACATACTTAGTTACATGTTGAATTGGAAATTTTTAAGAACACTATTAAAGAAAGAAATCCAGAGCGCTGTGAAATACGTCCGGTCTATCGGGTATACTCGGGTGAAGTGCGATTTACATAATTGAACGAATTAATTAAGGTAAGTCACTCCTGAAATTTGTTATATCAAGGATTTTTTGAGAAGTATATTTTGGATAAGTACTCATAAAGTGTAACTCAAAATCGCAAAGAAAATAGGGGGTCAGTGTGCATCCTACTGATCTATGGTACATTTAAGTTGACCTTTTTGCACTTAAATTTCATCTTTTTGGTTAATTACTTTAACCCTTATTATATTTTATCAGATGTAAGCATGGCAATAAATATAATGTTAATTTACATAAAATAGTTTGAATAATATTTATCATTAAACAAATCTTGCAAATTAATACGCGTAAATTATTGTGTGACCTTTTTGCACTAAAAAAATAACATATTTTGGGTATTAAAAAACTTAATAGGCAATAACAATTTTTCTTATATCAAACTTTTTACGACTTAAGTGCTGATCAGTCACTTGTATCGAGTAGTTTAAAAAAATGAAAGAAAAAGATGGGGTCAGTGATGTTAATTTTGAAATAATTGTCAACATATAAGATTTTCAGGCAAAAAATGGTGTAAATTTGATCTTGACTTCTTTAATATTTTTTCATAATTTGGAAAAGTTTGTTGAGGAAAGGTGTAAAACTTAGTTTAAAAATATAAATTAAGATCTATATTAAATATTTTTAGCAATATCAAAACGGAAAATATTCTCCGAGTAAAATTATGTAAGGCTAAATTTCCATTACATTAAATTTTATAAATGTGCAGATTTGCAGATTTTTCTGCTAAATATCCTTCCACCAAAAGAAGTAGTCTCTCATCAATCTTGCTTCTTTGAAGATTTTTGAGCAGTTTTTTTGTTGAATGTTAAAAAAATTACATTGTTGAATTTAAGCATGTTATAAAATCCGAATTTTGATAAGTAGTTTTGAAGTAAAAGCTTCTGCGTATACTTTTCTAAAAAGCTGACGAGTGACTTACCTTAAGCTGATGAGTTAGGATAATCAGTAAATCGTACATTGTTTCATTCTCTCAAGATGGCGTAACTGTATATACTTAATACAGAATAATCAAAGAAAAATAATATAGCAGGGATAATTTAACATATGAATTATGATCTATTATAAATTTTGAAATGTTTTAGGACTAATTATAGGGAAAAAATAATTAACAAAGGCGTAAGCAATACATAGTTATGTGGTTCATTTTCATTTATAATTTGTAGTCAAATTATATAAATATATATAAACTCTAATTTCAAAGTTATTCCCAAGAAACATATTCGACTTAGTCTGACTTAGCTAGGACCATGCTTAGTCTGTTTTATGTTAAGTTGTACTTAGGCAGGTCCTAAGAATCTGCGTTATTCCTACTTATGACCCTACTTAATTCAAAATCTTAGCAAGCTTTGTGTTACGAGCCCCAGGTACACAAGTTTAAAGTAACCCATAAAAATATTGAATTGACGTTTGAAAACGATTCTTCAAAAATCATGAAAGAGAAATATACGTCTAACACATCTGCTTTATATTTGGATACCGTTTACAAAAGAAGGATGTTGTGAAATTTTAACAACCATTTGACAGAGCTTTATAATAAATCTGATGGATTTATCTTCTCAATCGCCAACTTCCTTCACTTATACACAGCAATATACCTTCATCACCTTCATACAGGTTTTATATCTCTCAGGTGATTCGATGCGCCAGACCATGCTCTACGTATGAACAATTTCTAAAACAAGTTTTTTTTTTCATTGACAAGTCGATGAACCAAGAATATCAGCAGTCTCGTTTAAAGTCATCATTTCGTAGATTCTATAGTCGATACAATGACCTTGTCAGCAAATAAAATCTATCGTCATGTCAAATGCTGACTGATGTTTTTCATTAGTTACACCATTATTTATACACTGATTGTTGACGATTTTTTTTTTTTGTCATTTCCCGATTA